ATATTAAAAATCAACGCGATTATTTATACCCTTTAAACTTGCACATTATTGCCCTGAAATTTAAATTGCTAAAAAATCTGAAAAGAAAGTTGAAAATCTAGCTGAAAATTTGCAGATTGTTTATAATTTTCGCACAATTTTGGTGGATTTATATATTGTTTGTTCATGAGCTTGGCTTTTATGGAAAAACAATAAACATTAAATAAACGCAAGAGAAACAGCCAAAATCGATCAAAATGTTGCTGACTTAATCAGCTGATTACAAGTGTATGTATAAAATGATTTTTATATTAACGATCTCAAACCAGTTTACAATGAATTTTAAATGTGCTCTGTCGAAATGACATTTTAATATACCTTACGTACATATGTACCTTTGTATACAATAAAAGTTTAAATAAGAACACTTTTTTGTGCATACATTTGAAAAATACGTTTTTGAGTAGGAAATGAGGTTTTTTCAGACCAAGAGGGACGTTTTCTCATGCCGAAGACCTGGCAACACTGATCTCGGCCTCTACTGCCAGGCCGAGTCTGTTTTGCCTTCCCGAAATTAGATAGAGAAGTATGCCGCGTGGATCTGATGGTGAACGTCAAACAAACAGCCAGAAGACTTCGCCTACTTTGGAACCAGTATTAGCACAGATAACAATGTATGTCTTGAAATCTAACATCCTGTAATTCCCAAAGTGGCCCAGGTAGACCCCAAGGGTCCACGGAAGGCTAGACGAGGGTCTACGTCTGGGGGTGCATGAGTTGTAAATGGGGGGTCAACGAAAATTTATCTGGTTTCGTTAGTAAAGAACAAAACTGTTAAGGGAGCAAAAAAACGACGAAATTTTTCAGTGATTTTTGACAGGCCGCACTTTGGTAAACATTGTCGTATTGAGACTTAAAAAAAGGTTGTGAAGCTATAAAACTCTAATTTTTCTTGGCTAAAAATTTTTAGGAGATGGGGTTCTCATGTTATCCTGACAGATAGCGCGAAAAAAGATTTTTTGCAAATTGTTTGCTTTTTTTGTGGTCCACGGCATTGAAATAAATTTTTTCATTTAGGTCGGCATATGGATTTGCTAATACAGCTCATCTATCGTCTGTAGTCCATCGTCTGCGGTACTCGCCGTCGCAAATGCGTAAAAGCCCGTAAATCTTCCCCAAAACCTTTTTTGAAATAGTCCAAGAGCCGTCTCGTCGGATGATGATGGAAGACTTTACTCTTCGACGGATTACGGTGCTGACATTTGTATCATTAGAGATTATGCTGGTTCCCTAGTTAACAAAATTTTCTACTTTCTCGAAATTATAACTGTCAACAGTGACGTGGGTGCTAAGGCGCAATTGCGCTGACTGTTTGTTTGATGACAGGGTGTACATCGTCTTATCGTCTTTGAAGTCGACAAATAGATGATGAGTGTCGATCCTTTTCTCGCGGGTCTTTTCCAAGGTTTGGTGTATTGTGAATACCTGGTCTGTGGTGGATTTTTCAGGTCTCAAGCTATACTGATAAGGCCTCAACAGATGGTTAACAGTGGGCTTTAATCTTTCACACATTCACTCTAGAAGGTAGTGATGGCTTTACGAGCTCAGTTTTAAGATCAACTTTACTTTTAAAAACTTGCTAGCGTGTAACATTATTTAAACAAATAAAACATAAATAAATATGCTTTTTTATTTTTACCAATCCGAGTTTAGGCTTGGAACTCAGTCGCGACGCATATTTCCATTGTTAGATCTTACCATCACTTTTCTTGACGAACTTTGGGAATATGTTAGAAATGTAGCAGGAGGGGGTCCACCGAAACGAGTAAAAATTTTGAAAAGGGTCTACGAGAAAAAAGTTTTGGAATCTCTGGTCCTCTAGTTGAATGAAAATCACACTTTTCTTAGCTTCCTATCATGTCCGTTCTTATGCATAGCGCGGAAGCGATAGAGGTTGAAACCTTCAAAATCCGCTGGTTGTTTAGGGTCAGTCCGATACGTTGAGGAAAATCGGGATTGGATGGGAAAAGCATGAAGATATTTTGCCGCGATTCGGTGCATGAATAAGTAGGCCGTGTAGGGCCGTGGCACCGCCCATTTATGACCACAAATGTGTATCTCAGTATCCGATTTATCTATTTCGACCAAACTCAGACACTTACTGTCCTTTGTAAAGAAAAGCAATAAATATATTGATTTTTTTTTTTTTAAATCGGACTAGAATTACGCCCACTTCTTTTATAACGGTAAATTTCAAAAACACGAAAACTCCGATACTTCAATAACTATGAATATAGTATAGTAATATTACAGATTTTTGGAAAATGGGGGTTCCACCTCCCAATTATGATTACATAAGTATATATCGGTAACCGCTTTATCGATTTCCAACAAATTTGTTTTAATTATTTCACTGAGTCTTACTAAGCATATTATCGATAATGCTGGTAATCGGGAAAAGAATCCCTGCTCATTATTTATTTAGTGGTACTTTGAGGCGGATTCACAGTTCGTGTCCGGACGTCTTTTTATATATTATACAATTTTTTTGTCAGAGAGAGCACTGAAGTAGATACGGTTCACTGCCAAGTTCGGCACATTTTATTTTGGTCTGAAGAAAATGGCTGATGCACATACTTTAATTTTGAGAGGAAATAATACCTGAAATTCGATAGAAAACGTATAAAATAGGGAAGGCGGCAACCCCAACCAACAAATCGTTCGGATATACATAAGTAAATACAAATCAATTTCAATCAAACAAAGAGTGTACACCAGTAATGATAAAGTTGCCACAATTGTGCCTTTTTGTACAATTCGAAACCAAAAAGTACACCACATAGGCCTTTTTGGTACTATTTGGAAATGCAGCGCTGTATATATTTCGATGGGTTTCATATTTACGTTGGTTAAAAACTTCTACTTATTTATACAAATACTTTCTTCCTTCTCTTCTTACACTTCTTTACTGACGCTGTAACCGCTTAAGCGATTTTGACCGAGTCCAAAGCGGCTTTGAAATCGACACATAGATGGTGTGTTTCGATCCTATTCTCGCAGGTCTTTTACAAGATTTGGCGTATTCTGAATACATGGTCTATGGTGGATTTGCCAGTCTAAGGCCACACTGATAAGGTCCAATCAGCTCGTTAACGGTGGGCTTCCGTCTATCACACAATACACTCGATAAGACCTTCTAACCGCTTATAATTCATATTTTCGGCAATCTTGAGGGATATACAGTAATTGTAGGGTTTATAGTTTTATTACACTTTGTTCATTTTTATCTTTGTAATTATGAAATTTTAGAATGAAGTGATTTTTGCTGTTTGTAAATCAAAAAAAAAAAATTGTCTTACTTAAAATATTTTTCTTGCCCTGTAAACAACATAATTTCATTTGGAATTTTAGATTAAATTTATATATATTTATTGTTAACAACAATTGGCGGTCCTGCCAGGAGATACTGCAAGCAAGCAAGCAGCAACAAAAATATTTCGCAATTGTTAAGAAGTCTGTTTTCTTTCCCACCATGTCACCAAAAAGCCAGGAGTTACCCGTGTGCTAACAGCTTGTGAAATTCCATCTTATTGTTTTACTGGTGCAAGGAGTTCAACCGTTGAAACTGCAACAAAACTATCACTCTCAACAGCTTCAATCATCAACCACAACAATAACAATCTACGATATCTACTGCTGCTGTTGCATTACCTAGTGCCGATAGCTCCTTTGGCTATTGCGACAAGACACTTGGGTCCAACTAAAAGAACTGAATGACTGGCGTCCTTGTGGTGATTTTCGGAGACTTAATGTTGTAACTGTACCGGACCGTTACCCTTTACCTCATATTCAAGATTTCAATATGAATCTCAGAAATAAATATATATTTTCGAAATTAGATTTGGTAAGGGCCTACCACCAAATGCCAGTGGCAGAAGAGGATACCTATAAAACTGCAATAACGACGCCTTTCGGTATGTTTGAATTTATACGAATGCCTCAAGAGCTACACGTCGTCTAATTATAAAAAAGTACTATTGGGCAAAAATGCACAAAGATATTAATATTTGGTCAAAAGAATGTATAAATTGTCAAAAATCAAAAGTTAATCGTCACATTAAATCTCCAGCGTCAGCGTTTTTAAAGTGTTCGACTCCTGTCTTCGTAGCGGAGTATTCCCGAATAAAGATTAGTCTTACTTCCAAAGCCCAATAAACCACAAGATGAACCTAGTTCTTATAGACCTATGACCCCTATGTATGATTGATTCCTTAGGTAAGTTACTTGAGCGCATCGTTTGCAATCGCTTGTGGCAGCATATCAATACCAAAGGATGTCTGCCAGACACTCAATTCGGGTTTCGAAAGGGTAGGTCAACTGTCGATGCTATACGCATCGTTACCGACATCGCTGAAGAAGCTATTAAGGGTAAGCGTTGGAAAAATGGGACCAAGGAATACTGTGCTGTAGTCACCTTAGATGTAAAAAATGCTTTTAACTCATTGAGCTGGTCGCACATTATAAATGCATTAAAAATTATTCATATAATAGAGTTTTATCCTACAACACAGAAAGAGGCAAAGTAAGCTAAAGAGTCTCCAGAGGAGCTCCCCAAGGTTCCGTCCTTGGCCCACTTTCGTGCATCATAGCCTACGATGGCGTATTGCGTCTACTCATTCCAAAAGGAGATAAATAATTGGCTATGCCGATGACATCGCTTTGGTTGTTGTGGCTACAGACATAAATAGGGTGCAAATGGCCACAACAAATGCTTCCAAAATAGTCTTGACTGGCTTACAGCGAGGGAGCTGAACTTAGCAATCGAGAAAACAGAAGGTGTACTCATAACAAGTAGGAAGAAAAAAGAGACCGCAACCTTGAATATAAACGGGTATGTCTTTGATACATTACCAGCAGTGAGGTATCTAGGTGTAATGATTGATGCAAGGTTATCTTACAAAGTTCACATTGAAATGGTAAGTACAAAAGCGGCAAAAGTTCAAAGCGCGTTAGCTAGACTAATGGCAAATGTAGGCGGTCCAAGTCAAAACCACAGAAAACTGCTAACAAAAGTTACTGAATCAGTTATGATGTACGCGGCCCCCGTCTGGGGTCATGCACTGCAGCAAAATTCCTACGTTAAGCTTGTAAACTCTGTTTTCCGTCTTAGTGCCCTTCGCGTTTGCAGTGCTTTCCGGAAAGTTTCGCATGATGCAGCCTGCGTCATAACTGGTATTATGCCTGCCGATTTATTGGCTAACGAAATCCAGCGTACCTATATGACGGCCCGAACAAAAGGTAGAGCCCTCTCAAAACAGGAGATCGCGGCCAAACGCCAAATAAGCCTATCACTATGGCAGCAACGCTGGGCCTCGTCTTCCTCTGAGCGCTGGACTTTCCGACTCATTCCGAGCATCGAAGCTTGGCTATACAGATAGCATGGCGAAGTTGATTTTTATATGACTCAATTGCTTAGTGGCCATGGCTGATTTCGACCGTACCTGCTCTATTATGGTCACGATGACTCGACGGCATGTAATACATGTGAAAATGTCCCGGAAACCGCTGAACATGTACTTTTCGGGTGCCTTTCGTTTTCATTAAAAAGAGAGAGAGATTAAATACTTTGACTCAAGAGGGCCTGAGTACGGAAAATATCATTGAACATATTTTGAATGATAAAAAAAGTATGGGACACATTAAAGAATATAAGCAGAGAAATAATGACAAATAGTTGAAGTTACTTCTGTAGAAAATTTCTTATTTTATCTTATTTTTTGCATTTCTTTGCAGGTAACCCCTGTGAACACCAAAACGCTCCTGAACCCCTAATCACATTAGTGGATGGAGGATTATGGAAAGGACGGTATGACGTGGGGCATGTTTATGCCACGGCCTCACCCCGATGTAATACGCGAGTGGTTCCGGGGAGGTGGCTTTTGGAGAGTTTCACACGGGCCACTTGATGGATAATTTCCCTATCCCAACGTCCGTTAAAAAAAAAACAATTAAGTCTCCAGTAATTAAAATTCCGATTCCCAAAAGTAGATTTGAGTATATTCATTTAGATATTATTGGACATTGGATTACATTTTTACAATATTTAGTTGATAGGCTCACACGTTGGCCTGAGGCATACGCATTAAATGACATTTCAGCGGCAGTCGTTGCAAATAAATTTTTCAGAGAATATGTTTCACGTTTTGGGGTACCGTTAAAAATCACTACAGATCAGGGTACTCAATTTATGTCAAAATTATTTTCGGAACTAACAAAATTGCTTGGTAGTCATCACATTACAACTTCTGCGTATCATCCTCAAGGGAATGGTATGGTAGAACGATTTCATAGGCAGTTGAAAGCTACGATAATGGCTAGAAATGGAACCAACAATTGGTATGATGAGCTACCGATAATACTTCTTGGTTTACGATCGATATATAAATAATGTATTTCAGCCACACCATCTATAATGGTTTTTGGGCAAAATTTACGTCTACCTGGTGAACTTGTGGTTCCATCTGAAGAAAATTTGTCTCCAACTGAAGTTTTAGGCAATTTACGGAAACATTTTAAAAATATTATATCAAATTTAAAGCATAATCAAAATTCTGATACTGGTGTATATAAACCAACAGATTTGGAGACTTGTAAATTTGTTTTTATGCGTGTTATTAATAAAAGATCATTGCAACAACCATACGAAGGACCTTATAAGGTTGTGGAAAAAAAACCAAAAATATTTCAAACTTGAAGTAGATAGAGAGGTTAAAACAATTCCGATAGACAGATTAAAACCAGCAATCATTGAAACAGAATTAACACCTGAAGCAAACACTAATATAAAGAATAACACAGCCTTAAACAAGAAACGAGTTACTTTTAATTTATATAACATTAATTCTCTTGAAGGGGGGGTATTGTAGGGTTTATAGTTTTATTGCTCTTTGTTCATTTTTAACTTTGTAATTATGCAATTTTAGAATTAAGTGATGTTTGCTGTTTGTAAATCAAAAAGAAAATTTTCTTACTTCAAATATTTTTCTCGAGCTGTAAACGTCATAATTTTATTTGGAATTTCAGATTAAACCTTTTTTAAATAAATTTATATATTTTGTTAACTACATTAATTAGCTTTATTACACCTTATATATATTTTTTTATTAAACTACAATTTCTTAATCCAATTTAGAATGTTTTCCGCTTCATTCACTTCTTTCCACTGTACGCCTGCACTGACAGCTCCTGGTAGGGTGATCAATCATACGAATTGCAATTTAGAATTGCAGCGACATTTCATTTTTTTTTTGTTGAGTTACCTAAAAATGCGCATCAGCACTGGGACCCGTTCCACGTTCTGACCCACTTTGCTCCCGCGGATATTTAATATATGTTTAACAGCTGCATTGAGCCCCAATGAATATAAAATAAATACCTAAATACATTTTTAAATATTTTCAAAGAATTGCGCATTTTATACTCGAAAATTACGAAATGTTACAAACATATGTACATACATATATGTAAGTATATGGTATTTGTATGAATTTAGTGTTGTGTATATTGATATGTTGTGATACAACGGTTTTATTGCAATCAGCGTTGATGAATGATTAAAATGCGATAAATATCGTCGATTAGTTTTAGCCGCAGGCCAACCAAAGTGTTTTGTAATCGCCATTCAAATTTCATTGAACACTTAAACGCATGGACGAAATCAGTTCCCAGTTTGTGTTTTCGATGTCATTTAAGCATTTCTATTTTTAAATGCTGCTATTCGAATTAGAGTGGATGATAGCGGAACATTGAAGGTAAAATGAAATTTGCACACTAAAATAGGATCTGAAGGGCTTTGTTTAGCAAAAATAGGAAACTTAGAACATACATATATATTTATGTCAGTCAGGTTGCTTAAGCTCTACTTAGCACCTTTAATTTAAATATTTGAACAAATTTTCTGGACTCTAAAAACGCAAGTCAATTAGGAAAAGAAATGCAGAAGTGTAATTATACTCCGCATAGAGCGCATAATTTCCCATAATCAGCTGTTCAGTGTAATCAGTTAGTATGTTCCAGTACTTCAGGATTTAGCTAGGAAGACATAAATGAGGAATGTATATCCATAGCCTAAATGAAGTCGACACTAAAGTTAGTTGCTGCTTTTCGTAATAATTTTCAATGAAATGACGGCAACTAACTTTATAATCGACTTTGTTTAGACTATAAATATGACCCAATGTGTGTATGTACAAGAACGACTTCTTTGAAAATGTCACATAGCGAAAAATCAAAATTTTCCAGATTTCGCTGTCGTGCACTCGTGGGATAATCGCTTGTATCAAAGCCCATTAAACACCCAGTAGAAATTGTATGCATAAGACATCGCTGTTGGTGGCATGCGCTTGCTGCTGTGTATACATGCCAGTATAAATGAACCTCATTTCCATTTAACACGCGTGGTTTCTCAGAGCGTAGCGTACTCTAACCATACACTTGTACTACTGCTGTATTCATATGGCTGTATTAATGTTTCAAACATACAAAAATGCATTAATGGAACAGTATTAAAGCATTCTTACAAGACATGTATCCCCATATGTAAATGCTACTTTTCTGACACATTTTAATATACGGAGACATACAAAAAAAGTAGCATTTACATATGCATATCTTGTAAAAGCACGTTTGTGCTGAAAATGTATCGCAAACACGTCCGTTCACTCAAATTTTTGTACAAGACTGAAAATATTAAAAAAATTCCACCTAAAATTTATCAAGAAATGTACTTAAAACAACGGCAACGTACATTCGCTTGCATTTCGCTAGAATTTGAATTTATTCGTGGGAATTCATGACTACGCATGAATTGTTCACGCTAATTCACTCATATAGTAAGCATTCTTCATGAATGCATACAACCGATTTCTACTGGGCAGATTCGATATGTGGCAGTATTCATGTTATGCGCTGCAGCAAGCAAAATTCAACCATTTACAATTTTTGTAAGCTTCTTTTTAAAAGACCGCACAACTGCTCGTCAGTTTGGCACGCGATCAAACTTTGACAATTACTCCTTACTTTTGAAATTTTTCGCCAGTTATTTAAAGCAAGTTGAGCGGTCGCTGTTGTGTAGTGGTAAGCAGTGCGCGCTTCCACTTCGCAGCACCAGGGTTCAAGCCCTGGTCAAAATAACATCGCAAAAAAATGTATAAAAAAGGTTTTTCTTAACAGCGGTTGCCCCTCGGCAGGCAATGGCAAACCTCCGAATGTATTTCTGCCATGAAAAACAGCTATCCATAAAAAAATACAATCGCCGTTCGGAGTCGGCGTAAAATTGTAGGTCCCTCCACTTTGTGTGACAACATCAAGGCGCACGCGACAAATCGGAGGAGAAGCTCGGCCAAACACTAACATATGTGTAAGCGCCAATCTATTATTATTATTTATTATTATTATTAAAGGAAAAGAAGAGAAGGTCACTTCTTTACCGGAAAAAGGAGTGCTAGTATGATCACCTTCGGCTCGGTTATTATTATTATTATTTAAAGCAAGTATAAGTTTCGTTCTTCAACTTTTCTGGATAACGCTTAAAATACAATACCGGCGAATGGTAAACTTCGTTTGTTTATATAGCAGTGTTTTTATCATTTGAAATTTTGTTCAAATGCACCAGCAAATTAACCGAAATAGGCTGACTTCCAAAACGTACCACAATGTTTGGATACCGTTCTACTGCGGTATTTAAGCTGTTTGTAAATGCAGAGTTACGAAACATTGCAACCACATACATACATTGCATATTTTGAATATTCAATATAAGAATGAATCACCGTTCGTCAATTTTGTATATAAATACCTATCAGCAACCACCATGTTTTAGGCCAAAAAAAATTTTCTTTTTTCCGGTAGGTGGACCAGGGACCAATCTATTCGAAAAAAATCTTATTATGGTCCGATTTGCTTAAAATTCGGTACGTAGGAAACTTTTTGCCTGGATTAGCATATAGGATCCTTTTTTCCGAAAAGTGAATCATCACCGATCTATTCCAAAAAATCGTATTTATGTCCGATTTGCTTAAAATTCGGTACGTAGGTAACTTTTTGCCTGGATTAGCATATAGGATACTTTTTTCCGAGAGGTGGATCAGGGACCGATTTATTCGAAAAAATCTTATTATGGTCCGATTTGCTTAAAATTCGGTACGTAGGTAACTTTTTGCCTGGATTAGCATATAGGATCCTTTTTTCCGAAAAGTGGATCAGGACCGATCTATTCCAAAAAATCGTATTTATGTCCGATTTGCTTAAAATTTGTTACGTTGGTAGCTATTTACCTGGATAAGCTTAGTGGATTCTGTTTTCCAATTTTCATGCAATTTCGAATGTAAATAGCCTTGAGAAACCACCATATCAAGTGGCGAATTCGTAACTAGGCAAGTTTTTTTGCGACAATCAGAAACAACGGATACAGCCAAAATATAATAATAATATATAATATATCTATACTAATATATATTTTGAAAGCCGTGTTTATAGTGTTCGCAAAGTTCGAGAATGGCTGAACCGATTTTTTTGAAACTTTAGACGCCTGCAGCACGTGTCCAAGGATGTTTTTAAGCGAAAAAAATTCTACTATATGTAAAGGAGGCGTGGCAAACCGATTTTTTTCATACTGCATATCTCTGGAAGTGTTCATGGTAGAGTTCTGGAACTTGGTATGGAGATATACGAAATCAATCGCATAATCATGAAGAAAAATGGGGGCAGGCACCTCCCACTCAAACCTAATTTTTATACTGCATATCTCTGAAAGTATTCATGGAACAGTAGTATGGAGATATGCATGTATGTATGTATATGAAATCAAGCCCATACTCATGGAGAAAATTGGGGCTATTTGAAAAGGG